AAACATTGGATTGTAGCGGCTCTGAGGTGGGCATATATACAACAGCCCATTCGGTTTGAACCTCAACATGACATTAACGCACATGTGTAATTGGGGGCTCCAGGTATTGTAAAAACTGAGTGTGTTATTGCAAGGTCACCATCAGGTCTTCCATGTGCTCCAAATGTAGCATCTCATCCACCTATTTCCTCAGGGATGGGGGAGTGGTTGTTTTCCAGTCCCTGGGTATGACCATCCTAGTGGCTGTGACCATCCTAGTGGGCCCATTGAATGGACTGGCAGCACACCTCCAACATGGCATTAACACAAGCACAATTGTAACAAGATGCGTCATCTTTACGACTAAGCCCTATTGCAGTGGTTCTCAACCTTCCTAATGCCGTGACCCTTTAATACAGTTCCTCATGTTGTGGTGACCCCCAACCATAAAATTATTTTCGTTGCTACTTCATAACTGTAATTTTGCAGTGGGAGGAGTAGTGCCACATCACCGATGTCAGTGGGAGGAATTGTGTCCCATCATTGGTGTCAGTGGGAGGAGTAGTGCCACATCACCGATGTCAGTGGGAGGAATAGTGCCCCATCATTGGTGTCAGTGGGAGGAATAGTGCCCCATCATTGGTGTCAGTGGGGGGGGAGGAATAGTGCCCCATCATTGGTGTCAGTGGGGGGGGGGGGGGGGGGGGGGGGGAATAGGGCCCCATTCATTGGGGGGGTGTCAGTCAGGGGGGGGGTAGTGCCCCATTGTTGGTGTCAGTGGGGGGAGGAATAGTGCCACATCGTTGGTGTCAGTGGGGTAAGGAATAGTTCCCCATCGTTGGTGTCAGTGGGGGGGGGGAGGAAATAGTGCCCCATCATTGGTGTCAGTGGGAGGAATAGTGCCCCATCATTGGTGTGGTAGTGCCCCATCATTGGTGGAGTGGGAGGAATATTGTCAGAGGACAAGGGGGCACTCTTTTCGTCTGGAGGAAAAGAGATTTAATCTTCAAACACAGAAAGGTTTCTTCACAGTGAAAGCTGTGAAAATGTGGAATAGATTCCCTCAAGAGTTGGTTCTGGCCAGCTCAGTGGATTGCTGTAGAAAAGTCCTGGATTCTTTCCTAGATGCACAGAATATAACGGGATACTAACATTTATAGGGAAAGTTGATCCAGGGAATATCCAATCGCCTCTCGGGGGATCAGGAAGGAATTTTTTCCCAGCAGGAGCAAATTGGATCATGCTTTGCTGGGTTTTTTTTTTTGTTGCCTTCCTCTGGGCCAACTGTGGGTATAGGATTATAACACTTTTTTTTTTTTTTTTTTTTTTTTTTCTATGGTTGAACTGGATGGACTTTTATCTTTTTTCAGCCATACTTACTATGTAATTATTAAATAAATAACTCGGCAACTTATAACCTAAATATACCTCATATAGTCACTGATGTGTTTCGTCACTTCCGGACTTCTTCTGAAGGGATTTTTTATAATTTAAATATATTTATTTATTTTATTTAATTTTATTTTAAATTTTTTTGTTTTTGAGTGTACACGATTTGTCTCTATATATTAGTTTATTTATAGTTTACACATTGATTTTGCATGATTCACGTGTTACAGTTGAATCTATTTTATGTAAATTCTTTTGCACAGATATAATATATACTTATTTGTTTGGAAGGTATATATACACATATTTGAAGGTAATAAACTATTTTTAGTTTTATTTTTTTTGAGGTAATCACTGGGTCCGGAATACTGGAAATATTGAAGTCGGACACACGGGACTGAGAGATTTTGGTGGACTTGAAAATTAAATTTTTGGGACTTTATTTAATTTTATGTTTTTTGATTTATTAATTGAGTTAAGGTGAAGAAAAAGGTTTTGAATATTAGACTATGTAACTATAAGCAAAGGGAGAGTCTCTCTTTGTGAACAGAAGAGAAATTGATGTTTAGTCGGATACATAAATCTGTAACTGCTGTCTTCTTCCTGCGTCTTTGATAAGTCTCAGTGGTGCATGCTGGGAGCTGACTGTGGCAAGCAGTGCGGAGTGGCCATGTGTGATAAGGTCCTTCTATGTGATTGCTGTTCACATCCAATTCTCCGTGCTCAGACAGCTTTGCATAGGACTCCTGATGGGAAAGGGAGATTGATAAGTGGTCAAAATCGATAAGGTCTGCCAATCAAGGTCAATGATATATATGTGTTTAATGTTTTTAAACCCGTTTTCTTTTCTGTGTCTCTCTATTGTAACTATAAGTGGGGGGGCTCTGCTTCTTACTTAGCTGTGATGCACAGTGGCTGCACTTTACTGCTTCTTCCCACAGTGCAAGTCTTTAGGTCTTTGATGCATGTGCTACATAACATTTCTCAGGGTGGGTTTCACAGCAGAACAGCCAGGCCGCAAGCATTTTCAGAAGCGCTCAGCAACAGCCATTTTCATATTTTGCTTATGACAGGTGTCTTTTAAAGTGCAGGCTCTGGGACTGTCATCCTTGTCCCTGGTTTTTAAAACGCAGCTCATTCGGGGGCTGAAGACCCCTTGCTCCTACCAGTGTGGCCACGTGAGGAAGCTGGAGCTCAGTCACATGTTTGCGTGCACTCCAGATGCAGTTCTCGGGGTGGGTTTCCTGATGGTGACAATAGTGGACCATGCCTGTGTAATGGCTACTTGTAGACTCTATCACAAGCCTGTGTGACAAGGTGACAACGCAGGTGCACAGTAGGGAGATGAGGGCAGAGCGTTGTCACCAGGGATGCACCGAAATTTCGGTGGCCGAAACGTTTCAGCTGAAAACACCCCTTTCGGATGAACTGAAAAAAAGCACCGATACAGGTGCCGAAAAAACCTCGCCGCCACCGGCCGCCGCTCAGTAATTCGCAGCCTTACCTGAGAAACCATTGACCGATTCCAGAAGAGAGATGTGGGGTCTTATTGATGTGGGGTTTTATTGACCCATATCTCTCCATAAAGAGGACCTGTCACTAATTATTTCTATCACAAGAAGTGATTGAAAAAAACAAAAAAAAATTAAATAATAGAAAAAAAGTTTAAAGTGCCCTGAAACCACCCCCCCCCCCCCCTCCCCGTGCTCGCACGTAGTGGTGAACACATACATAGGCCGTGCCCACATATGTAAATGGTGTTCAAACCACACACGTGAGGTATCGCCACAAAAGTCGGAGCAAGAGCAATCATTCTCGCACTAGAGCTCCTCTGTAACTTTTCACTGCTAACCTGTAGAAGTTTTTAAAGCATCACCCATGGAGACCGCAGTTTCACGCCATTCCACGAGCGTGTGCAATTTTAAAGCGGGACATGTTTGGTATCTATTTATTCGCCGTAACATCCTCTTTCATATTTTACCAAAAAATTGGGGTATATATTGTTTTGGTTATTTTTTTTTTAATCAAAGTGTATTTTTTTCCAAAAAATATGTTAATTTTAAAAAAACTGCGCATTCCGGTTTCGGTTTTTCGGCACCAGAATTTTCATTTCGGTGCACCACTAATTGTCACCGTATAACAGGAAATGACTGATCACCGGGCATTATTTTATTGAAATCTGTCGATTTTAGATAATTAAAAATTGATTTTGAAATGATATGACATGTTGGGGCTCCTTCCGACTGTAGATTGGTATGTTTTATGCGCAGATGCGTGTGCTTTCACTGTGGAGCTGCATGCAGACAGCCCATAGAATGGATGCACATGCAGTGCCGACACGGGTACAATTGCAGTTTGAAATGCAGGCAGGAGTGGGTGCATGGATCCCAATGCAGAGCCTCTACGTTTAGATCTCCTGCCCGGATGACAAACAATGACATGCTATTGTGTCTGTGCCAGCGCTGAGTGCGCATCCACTTCTGTGGGCTGCCTGAACACGAGCGGTTTTCAAAGTTTGACATGCGGACAGGAGCAGGTGCACAGATCCAAGCACAGAGACTTTGCATTCGGATCCGTGCATCGACTGGTCAAACTTTGACATGCACTTTTTTCCTTGCAGGTGCTGTGTGTGCATACACTTCTATGGCCTGTCTTCACGCAGCTATGAGGAGGATGCACACACATCTGCCAGCCGCATGGAGGATGGCATTAATTTACTGTCTGATTGCACCCTAATGCAGGCCATAGACGGGTCGAAAAACCGGCCTTTTTTTATTTACAAAAAACACGAAAAATCAGTCGTTCGATCGGCTGACGTTACCACCAACGGTAAAAAATCGGACGATTTTCGTCCCGTCTACGGCCGGCATTTAATTACTTCTTTTCCCTTGCAGAGAGCTCCACTATTATATTTGAAATGAAAAAGTATTGTGGTTGCACAACATATCCATTTGTATCCATTTCGGATACAGATGCTTTTATTCGGATACAAATGGATACATTGTTGCAACCGCAAGACTTTTCATATAAAATATAATAGCGGACTGGAATTCTTCTTTTTCGTCTTCTTCTTTTTCGTCTTCTTCTTCTTCTTTTTCGCCTTCTTCTTTTTCGCCTTCTTCTTTTTCGCCTTCTTTTTTTTCGCCTTCTTCTTTTTCGCCTTCTTCTTTTTCGCCTTCTTGCAGGTCACGGCTCATGTGCAGATTTTTTTTATCGGTAAAACGATCAGCCGATTTGCCCATCATTTGCTGGGAAAATCGTCCGATCATCAAAATCAACTGCAAATTTTCCAACTTGACTGATTAAAAAAAAAAAAAAAAAAAAAAAAAGTGTCAAAACCCAGAAAAATGGCCGACCAATTATAACCCACTAACGGTGCGAAAATCGGCCAAATTTTTTTTTCAGCCGAAAAATCAGCCGATTTTCGACCCGTCTACGGCCTGCAAAAAAGATTAGATGAAATCTTAGCGATTGGATTTATATTTCTATTCGTTTGTTTTCCAGGTGTCGCACAGTTTCAGCTGTCCAGGCAGTTTCCATTTTCTCCAGATTCGCATACATAGAAGTAATGGTGCCATCATGAGCACAGCGAGCACGTCGCTCCGATACTCCTTGCGGAACTGACATCCCTTATGGCTATGTATGATGAGGACATTCTGAACAACGCTTTCTACTTGGCAATCCACAAGCAGAGGCCTGACCTTATTGACAAGGTTGCTGAAGTTCACGGCATTGTAAGTTTGCGCCATTCTTCCCACAGCGGTGAGCATCGCTGTTGTTTCTGTTTAGCCTCCTAATTAAACCTGTCAGGTTTCTTAATTATACGTATTATGTGAAATGGTATTGTACCGTGATGATGAATGTCACAGTTGCCCTTTTTAAATCTGGAGTTAATTAAAATTCCCACCATGCATCATTACTCTGCACAGTGGGTGAGCATTGGTCAGACAGGAGTTACTTCCTGTTGCAATGGTGGGGGTATTTTTTTATTAGCTCCATTAAAAAAAAGAACCAGACATTGGTAAAGGTATAAATTGTGTTTACTTACATAGTTACATAGTTAGTCTGGCTGAAAAAAGACAAAAGTCCATCCAGTTCAAGCATAGAAAAAGAAAAAAGTTATAATCCTATACCCACAGTTGATCCAGATGAAGGCAAAAAAAAAACTCAGCAAAGCATCCAATTTGCTCCTGCAGGGGAAAAAAATTCCTTCCTGATCCCCTGAGAGGCAATCGAATATTCCCTGGATCAACTTTACTTATAATTGTTAGTATCCAGTTATATTCTGTGTATCCAAGAAAGAATCCAGGACTTTTTTGAAGCAATCCACTGAGCTGGCCAGAACCAACTCTTGAGGGAGTCTATTCCACATTTTCACAGCTCTCACTGTGAAGAAACCTTTCCGTGTTTTTTGGAGATTAAATTTATTTTCCTCCAGACGTAAAGAGCGCCCCCTTGTCCTCTGTGATGACCTCAGGGTGAATAACTCTACACCGAGTTCAGTATATGAACCACTGATGTATTTATATATGGAGATCATATCCCCCCTTATATATTATACATGGAGATCATATCCCCCCTTATGTATTATACATGGAGATCATATCCCCCCTTATGTATTATACATGGAGATCATATCCCCCCTTATGTATTATACATGGAGATCATATCCCCCCTTATGTATTATACATGGAGATCATATCCCTCCTTATGTATTATACATGGAGATCATATCCCCCTTATGTATTATACATGGAGATCATATCCCCCTTATGTATTCTACATGGTGATCAGATCCCCCCTTATGTATTCTACATGGAGATCATATCCCCCCTTATGTATTATACATGGAGGTCATATCCCCCCTTATGTATTATACATGGAGATCATATCCCCCCTTATGTATTATACATGGAGATCATATCCCTCCTTATGTATTATACATGGAGATCATATCCCCCTTATGTATTCTACATGGTGATCAGATCCCCCCTTATGTATTCTACATGGAGATCATATCCCCCTTATGTATTATACATGGAGATCATATCCCCCCTTATGTATTATACATGGAGATCATATCCCCCTTATGTATTATACATGGAGATCATATCCCCCCTTATGTATTATACATGGAGATCATATCCCCCCTTATGTATTATACATGGAGATCATATCCCCCCTTATGTATTATACATGGAGATCATATCCCCCCTTATGTATTATACATGGTGATCATATCCCCCCTTATGTATTATACATGGAGATCATACCCCCCCTTATGTATTATACATGGTGATCATATCCCCCCTTATGTATTATACATGGTGATCATATCCCCCCTTATGTATTATACATGGAGATCATATCCCCCCTTATGTATTATACATGGAGATCATATCCCCCCTTATGTATATATACATGGAGATCATATCCCCCCTTATGTATTATACATGGAGATCATATCCCCCCTTATGTATTATACATGGAGATCATATCCCCCCTTATGTATTATACATGGAGATCATATCCCCCCTTATGTATTATACATGGAGATCATATCCCCCCTTATGTATTATACATGGAGATCATATCCCCCCTTATGTATTATACATGGAGATCATATCCCCCCTTATGTATTATACATGGAGATCATATCCCCCTTATGTATTCTACATGGTGATCAGATCCCCCCTTATGTATTCTACATGGAGATCATATCCCCCCTTATGTATTATACATGGAGTCATATCCCCCCTTATGTATTATACATGGAGATCATATCCCCCCTTATGTATTATACATGGAGATCATATCCCCCTTATGTATTATACATGGAGATCATATCCCCCTTATGTATTCTACATGGAGATCATATCCCCCCTTATGTATTATACATGGAGATCATATCCCCCTTATGTATTATACATGGAGATCATATCCCCCTTATGTATTATATATCCCCCTTATGTATTATACATGGGAGATCAGATCCCCCCTTATGTATTCTACATGGAGATCATATCCCCCTTATGTATTATACATGGAGATCATATCCCCCCTTATGTATTATACATGGAGATCATATCCCCCTTATGTATTATACATGGAGATCATATCCCCCCTTATGTATTATACATGGAGATCATATCCCCCCTTATGTATTATACATGGAGATCATATCCCCCCTTATGTATTATACATGGAGATCATATCCCCCCTTATGTATTATACATGGAGATCATATCCCCCCTTATGTATTATACATGGAGATCATATCCCCCCTTATGTATTATACATGGAGATCATATCCCCCCTTATGTATTATACATGGAGATCATATCCCCCCTTATGTATTATACATGGAGATCATATCCCCCCTTATGTATTATACATGGAGATCATATCCCCCCTTATGTATTATACATGGAGATCATATCCCCCCTTATGTATTATACATGGAGATCATATCCCCCCTTATGTATTATACATGGAGATCATATCCCCCCTTATGTATTATACATGGAGATCATATCCCTCCTTATGTATTATACATGGAGATCATATCCCCCTTATGTATTATACATGGAGATCATATCCCCCTTATGTATTCTACATGGTGATCAGATCCCCCCTTATGTATTCTACATGGAGATCATATCCCCCCTTATGTATTATACATGGAGGTCATATCCCCCCTTTATGTATTATACATGGAGATCATATCCCTCCTTATGTATTATACATGGAGATCATATCCCCCTTATGTATTCTACATGGTGATCAGATCCCCCCTTATGTATTCTACATGGAGATCAGATCCCCCCTTATGTATTATACATGGAGATCATATCCCCCTTATGTATTATACATGGAGATCATATCCCCCCTTATGTATTATACATGGAGATCATATCCCCCTTATGTATTATACATGGAGATCATATCCCCCATTATGTATTATACATGGAGATCATATCCCCCTTATGTATTATACATGGAGATCATATCCCCCCTTATGTATTATACATGGAGATCATATCCCCCTTATGTATTATACATGGTGATCATATCCCCCCTTATGTATTATACATGGTGATCATATCCCCCCTTATGTATTATACATGGTGATCATATCCCCCCTTATGTATTATACATGGAGATCATATCCCCCCTTATGTATTATACATGGAGATCATATCCCCCCTTATGTATTATACATGGAGATCATATCCCCCCTTATGTATTATACATGGAGATCATATCCCCCCTTATGTATTATACATGGAGATCATATCCCCCCTTATGTATTATACATGGAGATCATATCCCCCCTTATATATTATACATGGTGATCATATCCCCCCTTATGTATTATACATGGAGATCATATCCCCCCTTATGTATTATACATGGAGATCATATCCCCCCTTATGTATTATACATGGAGATCATATCCCCCTTATGTATTATACATGGAGATCATATCCCCCCTTATATATTATACATGGTGATCATATCCCCCCTTATGTATTTTACATGGAGATCATATCCCCCTTATGTATTATACATGGAGATCATATCCCCCTTATGTATTATACATGGTGATCATATCCCCCCTTATGTATTATACGTGGAGATCATATCCCCCTTATGTATTATACATGGAGATCATATCCCCCCTTATGTATTATACATGGTGATCATATCCCCCCTTATGTATTATACGTGGAGATCATATCCCCCCTTATGTATTATACGTGGAGATCATATCCCCCCTTATGTATTATACGTGGAGATCATATCCCCCCTTATGTATTATACGTGGAGATCATATTCCCCCCTTATGTATTATACATGGAGATCATATTCCCCCCTTATGTATTATACATGGAGATCATATTCCCCCCTTAATCTCCTCTTCTCAAGAGAAAATAAATTCAGTTCCTCTAATCTTTCCTCATAGCTGATCTCCTCCATGCCTCTTATCAGTTTAGTTGCCCTTCTCTGTACTTTCTCCAGTTCCCCAATGTTCTTTCTGTGAATTGGTGCCCAAAACGTCTGGGTGTATATATTATATTGCCAAACGTATTGGGCCACCTGCCTTTACACACACATGAACTTTAATGGCATCCCAGTCTTAAGCCGGCCATACATGGATCGAATTTTGAAAGAATTTTCTTTCGAAAATCTTTTCTAAGAATTTTCGTTCAAATTTCGCACCATTAGTGGGTCACAGAAACGGCCGATTTTCGTGTGACCATCAAATTTGAGTGATTAGGCATGTTGGAAATTTTTTTTGAAAAACAAACAAATTTTGAATCAATGATGGGAGAATCGTACAAGAAATATGTGACCTCAAAAGAAAATTCTTGGCCATGAAAATTCTTTTCTGTAGCAACATGAGGAAAAATTGAAGGATTGGTTGGTGGAATTTCGAAATCAATGGTGGCACCATCGCATTACAAAATGCATAAAATTTCCTATTTTCTAAAGAAAATGCGTTCAAAATTTGACCCATGTATGGCCTGCATTAGTCCGTAGGGTTCAGTATTGAGTTGGACCCGCCCTTTGCAGCTATAACAGCTTCAACTCTTCTGGGAAGGCCGTCCACAAGGTTTAGGAGGGTGTCTATGGGAAGGTTGGACCATTCTTCCAGAAGCACATTTCTCAGGTCAGGCACTGATGTCGGGGGAGGAGGCCTGGATCACAGTCTCCGCTCTGATTCATCCCA